GCGCTGTACCGGTGTTAATTGGTGAAGAAGAATAGTGACTATGCATAAGCCAACAACGTATACAGGAATGTAATAATAAGTTTTGATTAAATTAGATTTAATTTTAAGAAAACGTTAACTTGCAAGGAATTTACGTTCAAAAAATATTGATTTTCAAACTTATTGCGATTGATTTATCACGGTATTCAGGCATTTGCAGCTTATGATTCAATATCTTTATGGTAGAAGACAAATGGTTTACGATAATTACAATTTATCGAAGATATCTTTCGTGGCAATCCCACCTAATGAAGGGTGTAAGCAGATTCGGTTCGAAAGGGATGTAATGTTTGTCTTTATTTTTATTTATTTATATCACATAAGGCCGTCGCAGTCTGCTCATGTTTATTTATGTGTTTCGTCTACATTTTACTTTTTTTTTAAGCATTCATTGCGTACGCGTACTAGTGTAAGAGGAGAAGTGAACACTTCTCACTAACACCTTGTAAGTGCTGTTGAAAGAAAGAAAAAAAAGACAAGAAAACTTATACAACATGTATAGGTGGGGTGACACAAACGTTCATTCATTCTCACAAACAGTGACGTCGTATATGTATATAGTGTACGTATACGCTGATTGCGCAATACAAATTTAACATGAAATTTAGTAGTGAATATTCGAACAGGCCAACAGAAGTGGACACCCTGTGGCTCAGTATATATTGCATTTTCTTATAATTATATACAAAAAAGGCACACTTACATGGATATGTCGCCACGCAACATACGTGTAGTATTCGAAATGGTAATAGTTATGTTTGTAAGTGTGCTTGAACGTTAGTGGCGGCTGGTTGGCTGTACATCTCCATGTATATATGCACACTTATTTATATACACAAAAAGTATAACATTTTTTACATATATTTCTCAACAGGTATAAATGCGAGAAGTGCAACTGTACTGTTAAACACACGTGATGTATACATATTTATAAATAAATGCATAAATATGCAAACAAAGTATGCATACTATATACATATATATAATATATAAACGCATATAAATACGTACGTATATAACATTTTACCTACTGTTTGGACAAACGTTAACAAGCCGGAAATAGTACAAATATTTTCTAAGCGTATGTACGTAGCTTTACCATCAAGTCAAAATAATAATTTTGAAAGCAGTAAACTCCAAGCTGGACGGCGTAACAGCAGCAACAAATTAATTAGCGTCGTGGGTGAGGTAATCTAAGAATTATCAAGGTCTTACGCCACGGGATCGGTACGGAATCTGAGTGTGAGCGTGAGCTGCGGCGAGAAAGAGAACGAGACGGCGCTCTTTCCCTCCCCTACTTAAGCTGAACATACCATGCAACCTGGTCAAAAAAAAGGAGAAGTAAATGAGCGAACTTCGAATATGGTCAAAAAAAAGGAGAAGTAAATGAGCGAACTTCGAATTTGGTCAAAAAAAGGAGAAGTAAATGAGCGAGCCAGAATTACAACTTGTTGCAATGTATTTGAACTTCGAATGTTCTTCTTTAGAGTGTAAGTAAATGACCAACCACTTGTTAGAATGTAAATATTGGAAATATTTATTCTCCTTTCTCCACATCAAGGGTATTAAAAACATTCTCAGAAGCGTCCTTCCTCTCAACAGCCTTTAACTTTCTTTTAGCTAAAGTAGTTCCCAAAAGAAAAACGAAGCCTTTTCCTATAGAAACTTACTTTAAGTACAAGACGTGGACGAAAGAGTGAAAACTTTGAACTTTTGCTTCGCTGTTTTCTTGTGTTTTTATAACCATTACCGAAAGGTGGGGAAGCTTCGAAGCCTTCGCAAGGAATATATATTCTTCGTTAGCGTGAAATTATCAATTGATTTAAACATGTCGGCCTACCTATCTGCATAATGTATGCTCTAAACATCCTCCTGACAAAAATTAAGCTATCGGCTTCAAATTTGGAAGCATTGGATGCTCTTGGACGCGAATTGGCATTGAAAGTAGACCAAATTGAGTCAAGGGCACGCTTACAATACCACTTAAACTGAGAACACGTCGGCCTTTAAAAAAAAAGAAAAGATTAATTTTAGTTCACTACTCATAAATTGCAGCAGGTAACTCTATAAACCTTTGAACTTACATACTATGGACGATGCTGTAGTATTTGTAAAAAAATGAGAGAAATTGACCCCACCTCCCCACATTGCAGTGTATAACAATTTAATTATTTTTCGATAACGCGTACAAGCTAGCTTCAAGAACCCTACACGGTATAGAAAATTCTCTCGATTTCAAATTCGGAATGCACCGTTCGCAAAAAGAAATATACATATCGGGTAGAAATTAACAAAAGCGTTGGAAATGGCTGAGAATCGGCAGGTCAAGGAACACGCCTACAACGCCCACGGGCCTATACACCCAAAACTGAGAAAACCTTTGTTTTCATGTCTTTTACCCGTTGCTCATAAACTACAAAAGATACACGATATTAATTTCCACAAGATTATTTTACAAAAATCAGCCACACCCACCCAATATTGTAGCGTACGCAAATTTCCTTTTTTTTTATCTTCAATAGGACAACGGTGATGGTTATAACGGATTCGGTTGCAACCGACTTTTTCCGCTTTTGATGCATATTGAACGCTTCATAAAAGTTTACTTCACCTGGTGTACTTATAAAAACCTTTAGAGAGAAATAAAATTAATTTATCCACTAATTCATCATATACTTCAACTTTTCTCTTCGACTATTATTTATATATATAAGTCATTAACTATGATATGGTTAGACTACCTAATATATATATATTTAAACATATATTATACTTTTGATATATACTTTATTACTAAAAATCATGGCCACAAAGAGACCATAGGCAGGATAGGATACTGAATGGGCCAGGGCTTGTGATCTGTCCGTTCGGTAAATGTGTTTCTTTTAAATGTAATCATCCGTGGAGTGTTCGTGAGACAAATATTTAAAACTCTTTATATCTCCCGAACTGGCTAGCTCAGTAATGACACACGCGTTCGTCAGTATACGCTCCGATCCTCTGCAAATAGCACTTAAGCGTGACCATAAAAATGATAAAGTGCGCATTTTGATGTTCAGACAGACAGAGAGGATTATTACACACATAATGCGTTACACAGAAGTTTTGGCATATATATGTATGTATTATATATACATCATATATAATACACAATACAACTTACATTTCAACTTTAACAAGATCACCAGTATCCAAGTACAATATTGAAAGCACACGTTTACCGTAAACAAATTCAATGCTCGACAATTAGTTATGTGTGCAGGTGTATGTGTTAATTTTTTTTTTATATAATGTTGTTATGTTACTATATTTCTAATAATAATACACCAGCGATTTCATTTGTATAAAAATTCCAAACATGTGAGAATAAGCGTATATGTTGTTTCATTTGTTTGCTAATAGAAATCAGCAAGTAACTAACCGTTGCTGTTAACCTGTTAAAATCGCTTGCTGTCGGTACTTGAAAAACACTAGCGGTTCCTTTGGCAAACCGTTTAAAAAGCGATGCCGATACGAATCAAACAAAACGTTTTCTCTATGAAAAACCGGCGGGTATTCAAAATAAAGTACGCCATAAAAAACACTAACGGAAAAAAAAACACCTAATAAAATAAAATGTAACAAAAATAAAAAAAGCGAAAATATATTTAAACAATTACAGGGTTTGTAAACGTGCGAATACGTACAATAAATAATTTACACGTATATATATCTATTTGTATATAAGCATAACATGCCTAACTTATATTGTCATAACCAGCTGCCAGCCAACTGCCGTATAAACAAATGTAAACAAATGTGGCGCAATATTCATGAACATTTTTATGAGGAGCTCAAAAATAGTGTAACGTGAATGCGAATACAATCTTGCAAAGTCAAATGCAAGCATGTGTGTATTTGCTATACTATATTTCTAATAATAATAATAACATTCGCTAAGAAAATAAAAGCAAAACACAAAAAAAGCCCAAGACGTAAAACGGCAAAGTATTTAATTCTTCATTATTATGATTACCCAACACAAAGATCTGAATTTAACTATAACTTGCTATGTTTCTGAACTCTTATTAAATTCATTTTAGACGACACAACAGTTTGTTTAAATAAAAACCTCCCTTTCACTAAGCAGTAAAATAATATGCTAAAGTTAATTAAACTAATTTCCGTTCAATTGCAGCCAACGGGACAGACGGAAATTTTGTAAATTACTTACTACTATGCATTATTTAGATGATTAGTGTCATGGCCGCAGGTTTCTTGTGGTCGCAGTGACGAAAGCAGAAGCGAACGCCGTTGTTCCAATAAAGTTGTATTTTTCGATTCGATTCGATTTTTCTTGTTTTAAAATGCGTGTTTTTTTCTTATAAGAAATGTGGGGAAGTCAGTAAAGTGTATTGATTAGGCTCTCAGTATTCATAAGAGAGAATTGAACACAACTGGAAGAAATATATGAGAAATAATATTTCTTTGCACTCATGGACTACATATAATTACGTATTAAGTTTTGTTGTTTTAGAACGAATCTGGGATACACTTAGTTGATGTTCAAAAAATTAAATAAAAAAACTCAGTAACGATCAAGTTAAAAATGTGAAATGGTACGTATATATGTGTGACATTTAAAAAAAATTCGATTGCTGGAAAAACTAAGGACTTAAGTTCAAACAACAAACTAATAGTATTGTAACCTTGTAGCCTTAACTCATACTTTTTGCTTGGTGTCTTAAAAAATTTTTTTACATCAAGGCCATTCAGACTCGTTTTAAATTTAAATTTAATTGCGGGCGATTTGCACTCGATTTCAGGTTCGCTATACGTATTAGATACTAAAATATTCCACAATGGCCTGAAACTTCTCTGATTTCGATTCGATAAAAAAAAATAACCAAACATTATAACACCAACCATTATATTATATGATGCTTATGGGCGACATAAGTTGGTCCAAAACTCTCGAGCATCGGCCTTACGTGGACAGTGTTGTGCTTATTTACACGTACTTCCACGGCAAGTGTTCTGCAAAGATAGAAGAGATTTGTGCACCAATTGACTCCTTTAACAGGACTGCACGACTTTTACAACGTGTTCACCTACTTCTCCTGGAGTTATGTCCATAGCACACATAAGCTGGCAGACCAAATTGGCAATGCTCTCAAATTAAACCATCATACTATCATCCATGCGTACAATGTTCACTCAAAGGAATCTTTTCCTGAAAGAGCAAGAAATTTTTCAAACACTCGCAGTTCAACAATAATAACAATCGGCAAGTTTTGCTTACACAATACACAATATTCACATTTTTAGCATATTGTGTCCTTGTGTCTCTCTTTTTTTCACTTCAATAGTTGGGACAACTTGAGGATCTTAACAAACCTGCCTTGCCGAATTATACCGTTTTAAGCGTGTAATTGTAGTAATTGTTCTGCCCGAAGCTGCCATTAGGATTCTCTCAGATATATATCTAAATAACTGGTCGCTTCATCCGATACCAGGCACATAGAACGTTATAAAGCTGTCGATGTCCAAAACTTAGCTTCATGCCACTGTCGATAAGTTCAGAATCTTTAAGTAAAAGGAAAAAAATATAAAGAAAAGAACAATGATTAAAGAATAAGGAATGAAAAAGTAAGAATGAAGAATAAAGAATAAGAATTAAAGAACAATAACTGTGACGACATAATACAATAACACATTCATTTATTTGTTTAAACTTTTCATTTTCTCTAACGGACTGAAATTAATTTGTGCGTATTGCATATGTATATCATCTTTGTTCTACTTTTCTAAATGGGAATTTGTTGATTTTTTTTTTTTTCATACGCTTTGTGCTCTTCTTAAATCGGTTATCAACGTTCGGTTTGATAACTAAGCGACTGCTGAATAATTTTTCATTTTGATGTACGTTTATTAAATATAGTCATAGTTCGCTCTTTCAATTTAACAGAATTGTCGCCAGATAAGATATCAATAATTTTAATAAGAATAAAGGAAATTTAAAAACTAGTAAATGTAAAAAATATGAGCGGCCAACTTAGGGAGTTTTGTTGAATCTCCTATTGAAAGCTAAACTCATTGGAGCTGCAAATTTTCTAGCTAAAAATTTATTAAAAGGTAACTTATTAGTGATAAAATTGAAAGAAACTTCAGGGGCAATTTTATATTCGTACTTACTTACTCTGATAATTGCCATAGACGCAACTGAAGTTGAGTCAATTAAAATAAAATTGAACTGAAAGACAGTATATGTGCAAGTTAATTATCGCTGGTTAACGTTCTGCACACTATTCTTTCATTTGAAAACAATCCTATACAACTAGGTTATAGGTGTGGTAATTGGTATTCAAGCTTCCACTTAAGGCATGGCTATTAGGGACATAAACTCGTCTCTCTCTTTCTCGCACGTCCGAAGAATACAATGTTCTTGTACAATGTAAGATTATTAATTCAAGTTCCCGACCCGGTTGTATTATTATATCCACGACCGGGACCGAGGGACGGGGCTTTGTTCATTTCGCTTTTTTTCATAATGTATGTAAAATGCAAAAGGAAGCTTCAAAAACACTATAAAGTATGGATATTAAGCAAACAGGCTGAAATTCTGAATGGATTAAGGTTTGTGTGCCCATCTATGAGTCTGCATGCTGTTGACAATCTCTATGGTCGCAAAAATGAAGATATTGACTTCAAATATGATTGAAACATTGAAAGTTTCTACGCGCAGGTTGGTATTGAAAATGGGCCAAATAGGTCAGAGCAGAAGCCCGCAGTGAAGCATAAACTGAACGCAACTCCGTTTTTCTTAAGTTATACCGAAATTAATAAAGTTACCAGGCTGAAATTTTGCACATTTAATTTACTAAACACTACACTTTACGTGTAAAGACGGAAAGAAATCGGCAGCGCCCGCACAAACTTACATGTAGTTGAGCTTTATTTTTTTCAATTTTTTGTTTAAATGCTTTTTTATCATAAGACAAACGAGACAATTAAAACTATTTTGCACATTCCTCAAATGAAAGTAATTTATCTGCCTACAAATGGGTTCATTATAAAATGAATATGGTGGACGCCGCGACCTGGTGGATTAATTTTTTCTTAATAATACCAGAGGCATGGGTATCAAATGAAAGAACTTGGAGACTAGAATGCAAAAACATAGTGCTTGGTATGCGAGATTCGGCCCTGCGGAATATTACTTTCTTGCTTGTTATAATTATTATTATTAATTTAGCCAGAACAATACAAGTTCAAATAGTCAAATGCTAATGCTTTAAGTCTAAAGGCGATATTGAAAACTCTGCTGCACTTGATATTTAAACACACGAGCATTGAGCTGTTAGTCACGATCCATTGCTTACTCGACCCCTCAAGGGTATAATTAGTCCGGTTCTAATCACAATTTCCTCTTCAGTTATATTTATGGTGTGGCGCTTAAGAATTTAGCTTAAAGTATGATATTATGCTTCTCTTATTGATGGCATACGATTTTCGTTTTACTTTATGTTAAAACATCGTAAGTATATATCGTCATATATATCATATTATCATATATATATCAATAATTTATTGAAAACTCAATTCAATTTAGTATCGTATGCAAAAAATTCCACTGGCAATTTTATACAACTTTTTCTTGCTCGTTAAGATTTAATTATAAAATTTTTATATCTTGTATATCTGTTTAAACTGGTCTTTAATGATCGTAATTATAAGAAGCACTAATATGCTACCTTTTCGGTTATTCGGTTATTATTCGATTATTATTTGTGTTAGTTGGAGAAGTAAATGTAGACGTCGTTGTAGCTTCACTATTCCCCCGATTATAATAATCCATTTGTTTCCATTTAAAAACTTTTATGACCCCATAGTTTGTGCCAAAGTAATCAGTGTACCTAGTATACTGAATATTAAAAACAACTTTGAGAGGATATTGCAAGTTGTAACGATGCACTTTCAATCGCTGGTAAACCGGCACTGAATATTTCTGTGATTCAATCCAAATATCCATAAATTTACGATTGCATTTGAATTATAAAAATGTCTAAAGATTTATAAACTTCATAACGATGAGCACAGATTTAATTTTTTTTTCTTTTTATTTATTTTCTTGATTTCTTTGATAAGCAAATATTAATAAAACATTTATATATGTTTATATATGTAAACCAGTATAACAATAACTTTTTGACCATTCACTTTGTTTGTTTGCTCGTTATTTCATTTGGGACCTGAAAAAGTACGGACCATTCGTAGAGTACGTAATTCTTTTAGTTTTTTTGTTTTTATCCCCTCCTTAGTCATCCGATATAAAACACACAACTTTTCGTATATTTGTCTTTCTAGAAATAATAATTTGTGTGCATAAAACTATATATTTTTATAGAATACATTCACACTGAATCATAAATTGAAAATATTAATTTTGTTTGGGCTTAGTCCATCTCCTCAAGCAGTCTTAATTAAAAAAACAATTAAAAAAGTTTTTACATTTACTTGCACGTATATGATGGGTTACCCCTATTGGGCAACGTTACCGTACGCCTGCCGGTATGGTGAGGTACCGATGTTTCCACTTTTCTATCGAACATTCACAACCATTACTCCCCCATAGACGAATTCTACAGGTTAAAATAATAAAGCGTACATAACGGTTAAATTCGACGGTTTTGATCTTTCTCTACACAAAATAAGACTTCTGCGTTTAATATGATTGATTTATTTGGCGTGCGCTGACTGTAATCATGGAGCTCACAAATTTCCTCTTCTTCCAAATTACTTTTGTTGTTTATTCGAAGAAATCTGCTGTCGAAGCCCACCAAACACTTTTAGAGGCTTATGATGATGCTGCTCCATCATATCTCAAATGTTGGTTTTGGTTCCAAAGATTTAAAAGTGGCGAAACGAATTGGCTGAAAATGCCATTTTTGGGGAGTTGTTGCACGAGTTGTCCAGGGTATACTCTTGCAGCTCAAATGGTAAGTTTCGCCACACCCAGCGTATTCTCCATATATGGCGCCTTGTGCTTACCACTTGTCCAAATTGGTGCAGCATGGCTTGGCACGACACGCCCACAGTACAATATAAAATGAAAACATCTGTTTTCAAAAGAAAAGAAATGGGTATTGTGCTCGTCACTCATAAACTGCAACAATAAATATCTCCATATTTTATTTTAATATAAAGATGCTGGGCATAACAGATTCGGCCAAAGCCGAAAATATTTTCCTAACTTGTTACTACTCGTAATTTTAAATTTTCTTCTAATCTTTAGTATCTAAAAAAAAAAAATTAACGAACAAAACAGGCTTCAAGCTTTATTTTTTCCGCAACATTTTGCGAGCCATGTCGATAAAAATTTTACGGGAGATTAACACGAATCGCATATAAAAAGAAACCACACGTATTACATGAGTGCCAAATAGAGCCGTATGTGATTAATTTAAAATAAATTTTATTTGGTACTTGCTTTTTCATGTTTCATTTATTCAGTTGTTTTGTTATATTTAATTTAAGCTTTTTTATTTTTTATTGTTATCAAGATCTTTCTACTCTATAACATTAATAATAGGAGACGTTCATCTAAAATTTGGTATAATTATTTCCCCAAAGTCATAATAAAGAATCGGCATAAGTCGTGTCTCAAAGATTTTTCTTAACGCGAAGATTAAAAGCAATATACTGAGAGTGCATAATTGAAGAATTGAGTGCATAAAAGAAGAGATCGTGAAGTACAGTTTACGCATACATTGATTTAACACCAAATACACACACACGAATATTTTCACATAAAAGGTCAAAGTAAAAATGGATAAAATAAATCCTACAAACATATATACATACTGCACAATAAACTTTTTCTTAAATCTTACGTATATGAGATATTTACCTATACATTAATAAAATTTTTTATCAAAGTCATGAAAACGTTTGAAGGGAAATCGATTACATGACAAGCTCAATAATGTTCCAGCGATAACATTGATGTAGGATACTGCGAACAAAAAGTAAGACCAATATTCAAATTAAATTCCACAGATATATCGAATTCGTAACACTATGACAGACATCTGTTTGAAATTTCATATCATAAGACTCATTAATGCTTCAGCTGCGCATGGTTCTATACGACAAAAAAATATTTTGGTCCGATTTTTACAACGTTGTTGAGCCAAGAAGTTGCATTAAATTTTGTTTGCGCAATATATTGAGAAGAGACTTGAATCTACGCATGTGGGCCGAAAACAACCGATCAATCGAGCGAATATTATACAAAAGGTGAGCCAAGATCGAAAAAAACCGAGCAAATTCTCAAATATTACCTTCAAAAATAACCTTCGTAGATTTTGCAAATAGCCTTTCGTAGATTTCAAATGTAGTCTGCTTTTTTCCTCTCTTTTAATATATGCCTTCATATGCTTTGAATGATATTTTTCCCAAAAGAGAAGCGAAGATTTTGCACAC